TGTTTCTATTCTTAATGCTTGCTTTGGATTGATTCTCCTTTGCATGATATAGGTTCCATTGGGTGTTGGAAAATAACCATTGAAACTAGCTCTGAAACAAATGCCTAGTGGGAAATGTATCTAGGAATGGAGCTTAGCCCATTAGTAGTCTTAAACCCTAGCCCGTAATGTGGGTGTAGATATTGGGTACTCAAGGAATTGATATTCAATATCCGCACCTAGGCTCTTGCTCTAAGGGATTAGGTTTGAGTAAACTTATGGGTTGACTAAGCAATGTATGCAACAAGAGATTAAGGAATCATTAGTTTGACGTTTGGTGAAATCTGACCCCACAATCTCACAAAACCATTACACCATTTCTACCCTTTTCCACTCTAAAACCAATATTTTATAGTTTTTAACATTCCAGTAGTCATGCTCTTCAATTCGTATTTACATGACAAACTACAAATTGGAATTATTCTTTAGTCACGAATAGTCAATAAATGCTTATTTTACCTACTAATCCCTATGGATACGATAATTTTACTACTTGAACGGCTGGTATACTTGCCGTGTTTGAGACCGTTGATAGAATTAAGCTGATTTACAATTATAACAAAAGTATTTCAACGGAAATCTTAACAATGACAGCGATTCAGAATGAGAAGAATGAATTGATTCCGACAAAGACTGTCACTGGTTGGAGAATGTGTATAGATTATAGAAAACTCAATCAAGCAACTAGAAAAGATCACTTTCCACTACCGTTCATGGATCAGATGCTTGAGAGGTTAGCTGGACAAGCATACTATTGTTTCTTGGATGGATACTCTGGTTACAATCAGATTGCAGTGGACCCAGAAGATCAAGAGAAGACAGCTTTCACATGTCCATTTGGTGTCTTTTCTTATAGAAAAATGCCTTTTGGTCTATGCAATGCACCAGCTACATTCCAGAGATGCATGCTTGCCATATTTTATGACCTAGTTCAGAAATGTATAGAAGTCTTCATGGGTGACTTTTCTGTATTTGGTTCTTCTTTTTCTAATTGTTTGGAGAATCTTGACACTGTACTAAAGCGATGTATTCAGACAAATCTTGTTCTTAATTGGGAGAAATGTCACTTTATGGTAACAGAGGGAATTGTGTTGGGCCATAAAATTTCTTCTAGAGGTATTGAAGTTGATAAGGCCAAAGTATAGATTATTGAAAAGCTTCCTCCACCAACAAATATCAAAGGGATTCGGAGTTTCCTTGGTCATGCTGGATTTTATAGACGGTTCATCCAGGACTTTTCAAAGATTGCAAAGCCATTAAGCAACTTGCTCAATAAGGACACTCAATTTAATTTTGATGCATCTTGTTTGAATGCTTTTGAATTATTAAAACAAAAATTGATTTCAGCTCCTATCATTGTTGCCCTTGATTGGAATTTAAACTTTGAGCTGATGTGTGATGTTAGTGACTATGCAATTGGGGCAGTCCTAGGTCAAACAAAATCAAAGATTTTCCATGCTATACATTATGCTAGTAAAGTTTTAAATGAAATTCAAGTTAATTATGCAACTATTGAAAAAGAATTACTAGCTATTGTATATGCATTGGAAAAGTTTAGATCATACTTGATTGGTTCAAAAGTGATAGTTTTTACAGATCATGCTGCAATAAAATATCTTCTGACTAAGTCTGATTCTAAACCTAGATTGATTAGATGGATTTTGTTATTGCAGGAGTTTGACATAGAGATCAGAGATAAAAAAGGAAGTGAAAATCATGTAGCTGATCATTTGTCTAGATTGGTTAATAGTGAGGTGACTGCACTGGAACCAGAAGTGGTAGAGGAATTTCCTGATGAGAAGCTTCTAGCAATTCAAGCAAGGCCATGGTTTGCTGACATGGCTAACTTCAAGGCTGCTGGAGTTATTCCTAAGGATTTAAATTGGCATCAAAGAAAGAAGTTTTTCAGGGATGCTAAGTACTATGTGTGGGATGATCCTCATCTGTTTAAGATTGGAGCTGATAATCTTTTAAGGAGATGTGTGACCAAGGAAGAAGCTGGTAACATTCTTTGGCACTGCCATAACTCACCATATGGAGGTCATTTCAATGGAGAGAGAACTGCTATAAAGGTTCTCCAATCTGGATTCTTTTGGCCAACTCTATTTAGAGATGCTCATGAACATGTACAAAGATGTGATAATTGTCAAAGGATAGGAAGTATCTCTAAAATACATGAAATGCCCCTGCAAAACATTCAAGAAGTTGAGGTATTTGAGTGTTGGGGGATTGACTTCATTGGCCCACTGCCTTTATCCTTTTCCAATGAGTATATTTTGCTAGCTGTTGAGTATGTGTCTAGATGGGTGGAAGCAGTCCCGACTCAAAAGGCAGATGCTAAAATTGTAGTGAAATTTCTCAAGAACATTTTTACCCGGTTTGGCACTCCTAGAGTGTTGATAAGTGATGAAGGTTCTCATTTTTGTAATGTCCAACTTCAAAAAGTTTTGGAACACTATGGTGTAAGGCACAAGGTAGCAACAACTTACCATCCTCAAACAAATGGTCAGGCAGAGGTATCTAATAGAGAGATTAAGAAAATTCTTGAGAAGACTGTTACTTCTTCAAGAAAGGATTGGTCAATCAAATTAGAAGATGCCTTGTGGGCTTATAGAACAACTTTTAAAACT